GTAAGCTTTTTCAATATTATGGAGACATGGACCTGTGGTTTAATTAAAGAAACAGTTTAAGACAGCTGAAATAAAGAATATTTGCACATTGGAGAAACGCTGCAAATTCCTTATTCAGGATAGGACAACATGTTGGGCTCTACTCAATCATTGCTGTAATACCTATCCAGCAATCTTATACTATGAGCTGATTATTTTGTTTGGTTTCTGTTTTTTTCTTAAGATATTTGTATATTAAGATCATATCAAAACTACATAGATGTGGACAATATATGACTGAAAGTGTAGCAAAATAAACACACATTCCACCAAATACCAGGTAAAAAGCCCAACAACCTAGTTTTAGAAATACTACTGAAAATACTGAAGAAATCAGCTGTGTTTTTCTGAGTTTCTCCAGGATTTCCAGTCTGTTTCATGATAATTTCTTCTGTAAAAGGAGTCTCTTACACATTATCACTCCCACAAATTCAACTCAACTACCATCAGACATCCTAGGCAGCCCCCTAGGTACATGGGAAGGGGGAAAACAACGGATTTCATATGTACAATAAGGACAGAGTCCTAGAGATTTTCTTCCTTTTACAGATACAGCTTGATACTGGTATTTATTTCAGTCTCATTTGTAGGAGAGAGCTGTATGGAATGGGGCCAATTGGATGTAAAATGTTCGCTGCCTTTTTGGGGATATGATTCTTCCTTAGAAAATCAGGGTGTAGTTCAATTCTGATTCAACACAGCAAATGTGTGTTTAGTCTCCTGCCAGTTCATCAGACTGAGAATTATGTAATGACCAGCACACAGGCCATTTTGGACTGCAGATAGAACATTCAGCAAAAAGCTGAACTACCAAATAGGGGAAAGACATTCTGTTGAGCAGGATGCCAGAAGGTGAAGAAAGGACATGACCTGTACACACACACACACACACACAGAGTTCTTCTCTAAATTACAGTGTTGTTTATTGTTACCATGCTTTTCAAGTTAAAAAATTGTGCTGGCCTTAGCTTAGCAAAGTTTGTGTTTATATATATGCATACATTTCTACGCAAAAGTTTTTACAGTTTCTTAACTGTTTCTTTTTCTCCCTCCTTCACACAGGTATTTGTATCTGTGCTTTGATATGTGATAACACTGTTAGACAGCTACCTCAGTACTTTCCAAGCTTGCTTTTAACCTAGAAAGGAGGAGGGAAAGAGGAAAATAACTCTTTTTGAGCCTTTTGGCATTCCAGCACCTTAGTCAAAGTTCCTTCACTGACTCCAGGTCTGTCCTTTCCAAAGGCTGTAGTCTGAGTTCTTTTTCTCGAGCCAGTTCCCTCTTATCTTGATTTCAAATCATGCTTGCTTCTGTTAGGTCCCTAGTTGCAGATTCCTCCTTCCTCCAAAGATCCCCTCTCCAACTTTTCAGCACCTCCAGGCCACACAGCACCAACAACCTTGTTCACAGCCCAGTTTTGGATATATTTCCTCTGGAATGTAGACATTCCTACTCATGAGAATTAGGCAAGAATTTTCTCAGTGACTATATGACTCTTTGCATGGGGCTGGCCAACAGACAAAAACCCTAACTTTGAGACCACTTAATGCCCTTTGGGCAACTTACCAAGTCATATCGTATAATGATGCTGTTCCTGGTTTTCAACAATATGGTCTGGGAAACTGTATTTCTTAGTGTTTGTTTGGAATTGTGGCAGGGGCATCTGCTGGGGGGGGTGTCAAAAAAAGTCAAGAAGTTGAATGCAATCTCATGATCAGAGCCCAGCTCCTTTGTATATTTGTCAACACTGCATGCGTGTACAAAGGAGTCAGGCTTCGATCACATGATTTGCACATGTCATCTTGACTTTTGTGACCCATTCACCGCACTGGCAGACGTCCCTGAATTGTAGATCAAGACCTGAATCTGATGGACAATAGATTAAGATCAGGCAAGTTGAGGTTTAGCACTATCTGACAGTTTATTAGAGATGTGTGACCATCAAGCACATTTTCCTTTTGTTGGATTTTTGTCAGTTGCAACTGGTATCTCTAATGAGGTAGACACCAATTTAGGATTTTTTCCCCTCTGCTTTGGAGACTTCAAAGCTTTTCTAATCTGTGCTACTAATACTCCTAGAAATCATGGAAGTCAACTTCAAATTCAAACCCCAGTGCCCAAAAGGTCCGCAATAAATATAACAATACTGTGAGAAACAGTAACTAATGAATAAAAAAAATCAGAGAGCACATAATCTGTTGCCACGGGGCTTTGATTCATTGTAATGTCTTTACTTACTATGTTTTGAATTCTTCCTCTTCTCTCCTGCACTAGGCCTACTTTCTCTGATGTCACGCACAGTGTTATAAAGCAATGTTTTACTTTTTAACAGTTTGCACAATGCCTACATTCAATTATAACACTCATCAAAAGAGCAGGCTGAAGGAACTTGGGATGTTGAGTCTGCAGAAAAGAATACTGAGGAAAGACATGGAACTAACAGTGTTTAGGCACATAAAAGGGTGGCATAAGGAATATGGTCAAGAACTATTTTTCTATTGTCACAGAAACTAGAATGAGAAATAATGGTATCAATTGCAGCAATGAAAATCATGCAGAGGTTGCCAGAGACATTTCCTCAATAGCCTGTAAATCTGTTTAAAATATTGTGATGGAATAAGATAGGAAGATTTCACAAAAAGTCTTCAGATGGTCCAGAAGGGCCACATACTCACCGGGCAGCCATTTTAGTGTCACACTGTACTACTGCTGTAGGAACAAAACTGGTTACAATATGTTGCAGTGTAGAATTCAAGGTACTGGTCTTCCTTTAAAGCACTACATGGCTTGGAAAGGGAACTGTATTTAAAAAAACACCTTTCCCAGATCATTTATGCTTGACTGATCCAGACAGCCAGAAAGGGCCTGATGAAGATTGGCATCTACCAGGAGGGAGCCCAGCAGCAGGCATGTTCTGTGGGAGCTCCTCGCCTATGAAATAGCCTCCCCATTGTGGCAAGAATAGCTCTCACTCTTACAGCTTTCTGGAAGCTGGTAAAGATATGGCTCTCCCATATCCTTGTCAGCTCTGAAGAGGGCCTTCAAAGATTAGTTGTAGAGCCAACGTATATAAATTAGCCAATATAGTAATGTATGATTGGAACCTGTAATCCATTATTGTCATTATTGTACTTCATTATTATTATTCGTTTATTATTGTTGGGTTTAGTTTGTTTTTTTAGTATCTGTAAAACATCTAGAGCCCTTCCAGAGTAACTGCATAGGGAAATAAATACTGTATTGTTTTCAAGTTCTTTACAATTGATTATGTGCCATTCAGTCATTTTTGACTCCTAGCGACCACATAGATAGATTTTCTCCAAGATGATCTATCCCTATTTCATGTCTCCCAACAGCGCACTCATCGCCTCTGCAATTGAGTCCATCCACTTTGCTGTTGGTCTTCTTCTCTTTCCTTCTATTTATATTTTCTATCCATGACATTTTCCTGATAAAAATACAGGAATGGTTTACCATTGCCTTCTCCCGCACAGTATGAATTGATGTCTTTGCTATTGTCACTAAAGTGATCGTCTGCTTCCAGCATCTTCCTATATCACTGCTGCCCAATATAGGTGCCTGCTTGCTTTATCCAGGCAGCTGGGATGATATTCATGACCTGGGTGACCCTGCCATGAGTATATACTCTTGGCATACACTCCTGATGTTCTTTGCTCATCCCTCCTAGAAACACCTCACCACCATAATGAGGTAGCACAGGAGGACTTGGAGGGGTGGGAATGCCTTCGAGTCAGTGGTGACTCCTGGCGACTGCATGGACTGGACTGCACTTTTCTTGGGAAGATTTCGGAAGTGGTTTGCCTTTGCCTCTTTCCTAGGACTGAGAGAGAATGACTGGACCAAGATCACCCAGCTGGCTTTATGCCTAAAGCAGGGCTAGAACTCACGGTCCCGTGGTTTCTAGGCTGGTGCCTTAACCACTATGCCAAACTGGCTGTCTTCTTTATAATAGATCACTTTAAAATATGCTCTAACTTTCAATGTGAGGCAGGTCAAAGTTCCTCAGATCTTCCTTTTCCCCTTTTTTGAAGATCGGGATAACATCTGACCTTCTTCAGTCATCTGGCACTTCACTTGGATATGACTGAGCCAAAATAAGAGATGATTAGCTCTGCCTTTTCTCTCTTACTTGTTCTCTGCAATAAAATGTTAGGACGAAGAAGGGCACCAATACATTTTAGTACCTTCACTGAGGAACTGCTTTCTCTCTCTCTCTCGCCTTTTCTTTTGCACATATCTGAAGATCACTTTTTGTTATTCTTAGTGTCTTTCATCAACCTTACCTCATTCTGATCTTTAGCATTCTTGATGCCATCTCGATATTTTGGGCTTTATTTTCCCTTGTGATTTGTAACTCCTTCATCTCCTACGTGTGCATTTTGTTTTCAGTGTTTTTTTTACTAAGCTTTTTTTATGCAGCCACATGGAACCCTTCCACTGTCATCCTCCCTCCACCCCAGTTGGGACTATTTACAATTAATTTTTTGCTAAATAAAATGTACTATTTTATTTTTAAAAAATAAAAATAGTTTTTATTTTTTAAAAAACCTCACCCAGCTTCCATTTTGTCTTTTCCATTAGCTTCTCTCACCATGAAATAGTTATAATTGCTCTGAGTTCATTAAAATCTAGTTTTTTAAAAGTCCAAGACAAGTATCTGACTACACTCAGCATTAGTTTCTCTTAAAAACAAGAAGTCCAGCATTGCATAATACTTTCCATTCAATGTTCCTGCTAGTTCCATTTCTTCAGCAAAGTCTTCCCTTTGAGTTAAAATCAGATGAAAGACAGGTGAATCTCTACACAATAGAGATATGACAATAGCAATTGGTATCTTCCCTAGCTTCCTCTCCTCAAAAAAATTCATTATTGCATATTGCTAACTTTACTCACTCTCACTTTCTCTCTCACACACACACAACCTTTCCTTGTTACAGAAACAAAGAGGGAACCTTCTGTTGCTCCAGAAACTTTATTTTGTTATCTTGCCATAAGGTATTGTTTCATATTTTTCTTTAAGCAGCTTCTGACTAAGTATCTTGCACATTTAAAGACTTTCAACTAAGTTCTGATTTCACGTGCATCAACTGGAACTTTTGAAAGCCACAGGAAATTCTCTTTTACCAGCTTCGAACCAAATAAACAACTCATTGGGCAACATTAAACAGAACTACTTCTGTGTTTCTGAGACATCAGCTGAGACACGAGGTATGTACCTTTTAAACTATATCTCATTATCGTATCCTAAGTTTAATTCATATATTCTCCCCCCAAAGGTGTGGTGGGCCCCTACCCTCCTGGTTTTCCAGAAAGGACTTAAGACCTAGCTCTGTCAGCTTGCATGGGGTGACAAGAGTTGTAATCAATCCTGGCGGTGGCTGGTGCCCTGATGACACTCCCTGAGCTGTTCGCCAATTCTATCATTCCTTGGAATTTATTAATTATTTAAGATTGTTTTATATTGTATTTTAATTGATTTTATCTCTTCTGTAAACTGCCCAGAGTTGCTTTTTAACGAGATGGGCAGTGACACATTTATTCTATATCTATCTATCTATCTATCTATCTATCTATCTATCTATCTATCTATCTATCT